TTCCTATCGGTCAAGGTCAGGATGATCCAGCATCTGGAGGAGGAGTGGTCAGGGGTTGGGTCGAGGTGGAATGGAAGTTGATTGGAGCATGTGATCGACTGGGGAGAAAGGGGATGGTTTTGGGAGCTTTTATTTTATTTATTTATTTATTAATTTAATTTGTATACCGCCCTTCTCCCGGAAGGGACTCAGGGCGGTAACAGCCAAAATTAAAAAACATACAAATGCAAAAGTTAAGATAATTAAAAGAATTAAATCATTGGCTACCCAAATTTAAAACCCCAAATCCATAAAATTTAAAATCCCAATTAAAAACCATTTAGGCTAGGCCGGCTTGATGAAATAAAAACGTCTTCAGGGCTTTACGGAAGGTCTGGAGGTCCGGGATCAATCGTATTCCAGGAGGCAGCTCATTCCACAGGGCGGGTGCCCCCACAGAGAAGGCTCGCCCCCTGGGGGCCGCCAGCCGACATTGCCTGACCGACGGCACCCCGAGGAGGCCCTCTCTGTGAGAGCGTATTGGCCGGTGGGAGGTTATCGGTAGCAGCAGGCGGTCTCGCAAATACCCTGGCCCTAAGCCATGGAGCGCTTTAAAGATGAGAACCAACACCTTAAAGCGCACCCGGAAGACCACCGGGAGCCAATGCAGCTCGCGCAGGAGAGGTGTTACGTGGGAGCGCCACGTCGCTCCCATAATCACCCGCGCAGCCGCATTCTGCACCAGCTGGAGCCTCCGGGTGCTCCTCAGGGGGAGCCCCATGTAGAGAGCGTTACAGTAGTCCAGGCGTGACGTAACCAAGGCATGAGTGACTGTGCACAAGGAGTCCCGATCCAGAAAGGGGCGCAACTGGCGTATCAGGCGAACCTGATAAAAAGCCCCCCTGGCCACGGCCGTCATATGCTCTTCTAAAGACAGCCGTGTGTCCAGGAGGACGCCCAAGTTGCGAGCCCCCTCTGTGGGGGTCAGTGACTCGCCCCCAATAGCCAGCGATGGCACCAGCTGGCTATACCGGGACGCCGGCATCCACAGCCACTCGGTCTTGGAAGGGTTGAGCCGAAGCCTGTTCCTCCCCATCCAGACCCGCACGGCCTCCAGACACTGGGACATCACTTCGAGGGCATCATTGGGGTGGTCTGGGGTGGAAATGTACAGCTGAGTGTCATCAGCGTACAGATGGCATCGCACCCCAAAACCACGGATGATCTCACCCAGCGGCTTCACATAAATGTTGAACAGGAGCGGCGAGAGGACCGACCCTTGCGGCACCCCGCAAGCAAGGCGCCTCGAAGTCGACCTCTGCCCCCCTGCCAACACAGACTGCGACCGGTCAGAGAGATAGGAGGAGAACCACCGCAACACGGTGCCTCCCACCCCCAGTCCCTCCAGCCGGCGCAGCATGATACCATGGTCGATGGTATCAAAAGCCGCTGAGAGGTCTAACAGGACCAGAACAGAGGAACAACCCCTGTCCCGAGCCCTCCAGAGATCATCCACCAATGCGACCAATGCCGTCTCCGTGCTGTACCCAGGCCTGAAGCCGGACTGGCACGGATCTAGATAGACGGTTTCATCCAGGAACTGTGGGAGCTGGCGCGCAACCACACTCTCCACAACCTTCGCAACAAAGCGAAGGTTGGAGACCGGACGATAGTTTGCCAAAACGGCCGGGTCCAGAGAAGGCTTCTTGAGGAGGGGCCTCACCACCGCCTCTTTCAAGGCGGGAGGCAAGAAACCCTCTCTCAGAGAAGCATTTATGATCCTCTGGAGCCAGCCTCGTGTTACCTCCCGGGTGGCCAGTACCAGCCAGGAGGGGCACGGGTCCAATAAACATGTGGTTGCGTTTAATCTCCCCAGGATCCTGTCCACGTCCTCAGGAGTCACAGGGTCGAACTCATCCCAGGTAACATTCTCAAGACCAGCCTCAGTCACCCCGCCGGGATCTACCCAGTCAGAGTCCAAGCCTTCCCGAATCTGAGCGATTTTATCGTGCAGATACTGTGCAAAATCCTCAGCCTGCCCTTGCAAGGGGTCCTCCCGTGCTCCCTGATGTAGGAGGGAGCGGGTCACCCTAAACAAGGCGGCTGGGCGGTTATAGCTTTGAATTACTGACAGAAAGCCTGGGCTTTTCAGATTCAGGATTTCGCAGATGTGCCAGTTTACTTATTCTAATAAAGAGAACTTTGGAAAATGCCTGCTTCCGCATCTTTACTGGGAGTTGGGGGTTTTCTGGTACGCTGACAGATGGGCCTTTTCATCGTTCTTAGTCTTAGACCCATCTTTTCCATGATATCAGGGCTGATGACACACCTTGTGCACACCGAATCTAGAAGGGCTAGCATCTTCTCTTGGGCCCCGGTAGATGGTACCTTTAGTTCCACTGGGATGGTCATGGGTCCCCCACTCTGACTTACCATGAGGTCCTCATTGGAATCAGTTTCAGTTTTGCTGTCATCAGTGGTGGTCGGAGTTCCCAACTCTCCCTGGTTCGTGGGAACGAACTCAATGACTTCCACCCCTATTAGGGAGTCTTGTGGAGTTTTGCGGGCGGTTTGTCGGCTCTCTTCCCTACACCAGGAGTTACCTTGGCTCCGGGCTTAGAGAAACAATCAGCCACTTGGTGCCCTTCCTTTCCACATCTGAAGCATGCGGTGGACTTTGGCTTGGAGCCTGAGGGTCCCCTGGTGGCCTTTTGGGGTGAGGAGAGTGGCTTGTTCCAAGTGCGACCACCACAGTAGCGATCTCTGGCCAAATCGATCTCCACGTCAGCAGCCAGCACATACCAACTTTGCAGCTCCCGAGGGGCCCCTTGGGAGCAGCAATCCTTGTAGACATCCTCATTGAGGCCATCCTTATAGCATTCCAGCAGGGCAACTTCTGACCATGCTCTCATGTGGCGCACCAGCTCACAGAACTCCTGGGTGTATTCAGCCACTGATTTCCGCCCCTGACTTATAGACTTCATCCTGATTCTTGCCTTTCATTCAGCTAATGGGTCCTCGAAGCGCACTCTGAGGGCTGCCATAAACTGGTCATAATTTCTCATCAAAGGGGAATCATTATGGAGTCCCACCATCCACTCAGCTGCCACCCCCTCCAGGGCCATGGTAATGCACCTCACGCGTGCGGCATCTGAGGTGAAATCCTCCCCCCATTCTAGCATATGGTTCCACACTTGGGTTAAAAAGAATCCCAATCCTTTAGGATCTCCCCCGTATTTTACTGATAGCAGAGGAATTTTGGGCTTTTTTCGGCTCCGTGGCCCTGCCTGCCTAGCAGGGGGGCCCTCGATCACAGCCTAGCTATAGATTTGAGTGGATTCCTAGGAAATGACATCCATTTTTTTTTCACATTATGGTAGGCTTTTATTGCTAATTGGAAATATAATGACAGTGCTACATCTCAATAGTGAGCAGCAACAAGCTTGCTGTAACATTTGGAAAATTAACATTTCTGAAAGTGATTCAACAAAGCATTACTTAAGAAAAAAAATGAATTTTTTTAATACTCAATTTGCCACTGCGTTTTTTGTTTGCCAGCTGAGCTCCCATTCTAAGACTTACCAGACTGGCCAGGGGACTTATCTGGAGCTGAGATAAGACTGGTCTTGTGAGCCAAGTTTCCCCGGTGGGGGGGAAACGAAGCTGATTCACGCTTCGACACAATTGTTGCTAGGTCAAAACAAAGGAAGAGATATGTAGGAAATGAACTTCAGTTTACAGCAGACATCTGCAACCATGAGTTCTCAGCAGCAACATAAGTATGCTAGAGGTCTAGTACTAATGCAATGTTTTTGCTTCAACATGATAATTTTCTCATTTTACCTTGTATGCCTTAAATAAGAATGTGTCCAATGATCATGGTTCATGAAAATGAAATATTTGGCTAAACTGAGTAGTACACTGTTGCTCTCAGTTGTATATTGTATGTGTCAGTTTTTATTAAATGCAGAAATATGCCCAAGAATAAAGAATGACTGCAAGAGCTATAGGATATATTTTCCATTAACTATTTTCAGAAAAGCAAATAATTTCAAGCAAATAATTTGTTGCATGGCAACTATCAGAAACAAACATTTTCAGCCATGTTGCCTGATCATGATCACTAAAAATCTACAATTATGTAGATAAATTATATTCATAAATTATATAAATTATATTCATTTGCCAATATATTATATTTAATATATTAATATAAATACATTATATTGTATTTAAAAGACAAGATTTATTTAGCCCTAATAATTTACCTTCAAATGGGAAAAACCTTTTAGATTTGCCCAGACACAAGTTCCTCTAGTGCCCCGTCAACATTTTCTATTTTGTCTTCCTTTGTGAAGGGATTCGTGTTAAGATCAAGGATATATTTCTACCAGGTAAATATGATACATTTTGCATGTGTATTTTGAATTCCTTTGTCAGTTTTTGAAAATTGAATGTAGTAGACATTTGGATCTGAATTAAGCTTTAAGCATTTATAGTCATGTAACCTGGAGTAGCTGATTTCTGTTTACCTCTACAGCTTCTCATGCTAAATGCTACCCACAAGAACATGTTTTTATGGAAATTGGGAACAATGAATAGAGAGAATAGGGAGAAATTGATACCCTGACTTGGAAGCTGAAATGCTTTCTGCTAAAGCTATAATTGACTACAACCATTTGTAAAGAACTACACAAAATCCTACACCTTTATTCAAAAGTCAAATCCTTGACATATGACCATTTATTTAACAACTGTTCAAAGTTATGATGCTACTGAAAAAAGTAACTTATGACGGGCTCTTACATTTTCAGCAGAGAATACCTCATAGTTATATGATCACCAACTGGAATTTTTCCACTCAGGATTCCATCAAGGAGTCAATGGAGAAGCCAGCATGGAAGGTTGCAAGTCACAATTACATGATTTCTCACTTAACAATGAATTGTCTGTCCCTGTTTTAGTTGTAAATTGCGTTAAAATTTATTGTCATTCACAAATTAAGTCTGCTTTTATTGCAGAGATCCCAGAGGATCCTTTTACTGCAGAAGAATATTATAATGATGCATTTGATTCCTGCTCAGAAACAAGCGAAGAATCGGATAGGGAACAGGAAGAAAAGAATGCATCACAGACAGTATGTAGAATATATCCACAAGTATATTCACTCTAAATAACTGCTGAATTAAAAGAACCACTTATATAGTGAACTTACACAAAATGAAATATTATTAGAACTGGGGCCATGTAGTATTACATAGGTGACAGCCAGCACCTTGAATCATACCTAAAAGCAAACCAATATTAAGTGCAAAGCAGCATGATCACCCAGATTTACTATAGATGTTGCTTCAAGGGCAGCCCCACGTAGAACATATTATAGTAAGCCAGATGAAGGATGACTAGGACATCAAAGACTGAGAGCATGGTCATCCAAGGTTACTGTGGATGAATAGATCAAAAGTCTGGTGCAAAAATCCTCCTAGCCACAGTTGCCACCCGTTCATTGAGCAGAAATATTTAGATAGGCCCTTAGATTCAGATCACTTCTAAAGATTAGAGTTCAACTCTATTAGAGTAAAAATGGTACTGTTCAGGAGTTGTTAGACCACAAACCCAAAACCAACTTCTCTTCAGCCTACTATCCTCCATCCAGATTCTGAATTTCTACTGCAATAGCTCTTTAGATTAGGGCTGAAATATGTAATCAGGTTTTAGCATATTAATAGTACCCAATTTTGGGCAAATACATTACTTTCTCTTAGTGTTGGAAGTGGAGAGAGGAGAGACTACTGAAGCAAATAAGGGGGCATGCAATAATCTCTAATCAATGTTACGTCTTCCTGATATTTTGAATTACAGTTTTTATCATTTCTTGACATTGCTCTGCTGATTTGATCCAAACTTCAATAGGATAACGTTACCTATTTCTCTTGGGATTCAACAGTTTTGCAAATTATTTGCTAACTAATTTTATAGTGAAGCCGTTCTTTATTCCTTCTGTTGTGAAACACACAACTATCTATTTTCTTCACTCACACTTCTCCCAAATTTATATTTGCTTCAGTATTTCTGAATAAGGAACGACTTGAATTTCAGTTCAGAATAAAATAGACTAAAGTCTATTTTAGTTATATTGTTATTTGACAGCCTATGTATTCTCCATGCTAATTGATGATTGAATGAAGGTGTAGAAAGAGGAGAGAAAAAGCACGGTAAATTACCAGTTCATTCAAAAATCAAAAATTGTCTACCAACAATCAACATTGTAGAAGAGTTTAATTTTCAGTACAATTTCTATGTATTCTTTCAATATATAATTTCTATATAATAATAAAATGAATTGAACTGAAATAAAATAGTTGCTAAATTAGTAAATAGATACTAAATATTATTTACTTTTTCTCTGCAAGAGAAAAAAATACATAGATACAGATATAGATACAGATAAGGATATGTATAAGAACAGATAAGGATACAGATAAATTCTTATTTTCCATGGCAATTGACATATCCTTTGGCTACATTCCCTAATAGTTAGTTTAACTCAGTTCAACACTTTAAAGCTCAGAATAAAATTTTATACCTTGAATGAATGAATGGGTAAATATTAAATACAGCAATATTTCTAATTATTTTTTAAAAAATCAGACTCTGACCTAATTTATGTACTTTGAGATTCAGTTGACTTCACTAGAAAAGTTAAGCAAAACTTTCCATTTCTTTCATCAAATCAATTACAAATAAATGTGTATTTAGTTTTAAAGTTAACTATGTGGTCATTAAGAATCTATCCTGACTTGATGGCACATAATCAATTAGTCAATCAAATAAATCATTCTTCCACTAAAGCAGGGCAATACAACCAACAATTGTAGAATTATAGGCTGACTTAATGTTGATTGGCTTTTGGCCTTATTACAAAGGCAAACTTCAGCTTCTTTCCCAGTATCCTGTTCCTTGAAGAGATGGGGAAAATAATGCTAGAGAGTAAAATGAAAAAAGGTAATGTCAGAAAGAAATGACTTCCAGTCTTGACTTGTCTAGATTAGAATCTTTACTGCAGAAACAGTAAAGGAAACAGTAAAGCAGAAATACACAATTGATTGCCTAGTTCCAGGGCAAAGATACCAGAAATTTAAATACCTATGGTCTGAGATTTAAAGTCTAGGCTTCTTCCTCCTGTCTTTCTGAATTAACAGATACTTGACAGCATGGTTGCCCTTGGGTGGGAGAGTTGTGTGGGAGAGGGGCAGGGGGGAAGGGGCTAATGAAAAAATTCTGCCCCTTTTGTACTTTATATTGGATGATATTTCATTCAAATAAGGAAGTAACAATACTTACACTGTAGTATCATATTGGTATTGATTTTGGTATGGGTTGGGGAAACTCTGAGGCAGCTTCAGCCTATCTTATGCTATTTATGCTCATGTCTTTCAGTTGTGAGTAGTTAGGAACTGGAATGGGACAACTTGCTGCAGCCAACTCGCTATGGCCAACTTGCCACAGCCATCTTGCCATGGTTAATTCACCATGGCCAACTTGCCACGGGACAACTCACCATGTCCAACTTGCCACAAGACAATTCAACAATTCAATTTAATTATTTATTTAAAATAATTAAAACATTATTTTAATTTTTGTCATTCACATTTCATTTTGTCCCTCCTTTGACATCCTTTCTTTAATTTTAATTTTAAAGAAAAACTGGGTTGTTCTAAATTGATGGCCAAAATTATTTAATATCTTTTAAACTGCTTTTAAATTTTATATGTTGTGTTTTACCGTGGCTGTTCACCGCCCTGAGTCCTGTTGGAGAAGGGCGGTTTACAAATTAAATAAATAAATAAATAAATAAATAAGTCTATTCCACCATTTCTTTGATATTAATGTAACTCTTGTCATGTAGCAAGTTGTCCCGCGACAAATAGGCCATGGCAAGTTGACTGCAGCAAGTTGTTCTAGACCGTTGTGAACAGCCCTTAGTTGCCACTTCTGATTATGTTAATATTTTTTTCTTAACTTGCATTACTGATCTTCAGTAACTTACTTGTAATAATGCAATAATAAATGGCATTGTTCCCAATTTTCAGTATTTTTGTTGAAACAACTAATTGATTATCTTCTTTGGTTGACAGGACAGTGATATCAACGCAATGGTCAGATACATGGAGAATATTGTAGATATCAATTCTGGTGGTGAGATAGCATGTTCTTCAGTTTGATTACAATACCAACAATTGGATATTCTTGACTTGTTACATAAAATGCTGAGCCAATGTTTTGTGCATGTAAAAGAAACTTGAAGTTGTTTATCCTGAACCAGAAGTAGTCAGCCTAACATAAAGACTCCTTAAAAGTTCAATACATAGTAGATTTACTCTCCCTTGTTGGTTAACTTTTGATAGAATTGAAGAAAAGGAGTTGACTTTTGATTTAACCTTGTTCAACATAACTCATCAGTTGGGGATGGGTGAGTAGAGAATGGGGAGAATCTACAAAGAAAAATTATAGTTGATGGCCGAGGTCTTATTTAACATCTTGACTTTTGGTCTGCCCAGTTTATCTGTCCTAATAATGCAGCAGGAACACGTCTATTGTTTTAAAAGGAGGCATTTGAATGCATGCCTGCAAGGAAAGTTAAAAAAAGAAGTTTGAATACTGGTCGATCACCAGGACCAGAGAGCTACTCTTCCAAGCTTTCAGACTCATGTGGAGCCCAACATCAGGGAGCTTTTCTACTGGAATATTTATTTATTTATTTATTATATTTCTATACCGCCTTTCTCCCGTAGGAATATGTGCTTTGGGCTATTCTGTGAGTAATATTTATGTGGCGCCTTCCTATTGGTTGATTGGTTTGTTGATGGCAGCCATCAAAACATTGGAAAAACTATAGTTCCACATAGGTGATCATTCCTTTTTATTTCTATGTGATCTAAACTCTAGTTTTTAAAGGAGAAAAAAATCATATCCTATATTATCCCACAGCAGAACACAAGATTCTACAAAAAGGACTCAACTATAGTACAGGTGATGCGAATCACCTAGAATTTTTTTTGCAGCCTTAGATGGGGCACTTAAAACCACCAAACCTGCCACAAAGCTCCAAGAAAACATTAGACAAAGCATCATTCCAGAGATTAGAAGAAGACAGGAACAGAATCAACTTACAACACGGTCATCCCATGTCAAGTGGTCTGATTTCAGGAAAGTGCCCAGGTCAATTATCATTGATTTTGATAAAATTTGGTGTGAACATGCACACACGTCCCCAATGAACATTGGTAAAGTGTTGTTTGCCGATGCAATACTTGCGGAGATATAGTCATTTGTATGATCCCATACCACAGTCTTTCACAGTATGACTCTGAGATTTCAGCAACTTTGAGACATAATATCTCTGATAATATTTTGTTGAGAGAAACAAAACATGGCCATCTTGAACAACTTGTTGTGCTCTATTAAACAAAATAATAAAAACGTTCTCATGAGCGATCTCCACCTAGATAATTGGGAGCAAATTTGGCCGAAAACGACTGTGGCACGAAAAAAGGGTAATGTTTGGCTTCTTATATCTCTGGAAGGAAAGGTATGAGAAATGTGAAACTTTGTGCATAATAACTTAGCAACACAAGGTTGTCGAATATAAAATTTCAGTCTCCTACTGCTTTTCAATACTTCACAAATTGAGTGTAAAGTTGACAGTTTGCCAACTTTGCTCCAAATTATCTAGATGGAGATCGCTCATGAGATTGTTTTTATTATTTTGTTTAATAGAGCACATCAAGTTGTACAAGATGGCCAAGTTTTGTTTCTCTCAATAAAATATTGACGGAGATATTATGTCTCAAAGTTGCTGAAATCTCAGAGTCATACTGTCGAAGGCTGTGGTATGGGGATCATACAAATGACTACATCTCTGCAAGTATTACATCGGCAAACATAACACTTTACCAATGTTCATTGGGGACATGTGTGCATGTTCACACCAAATTTCATCAAAATCCATGATGGTCGACCTGGGCACTTTCCTGAAATCACACCTCTTGACATGGAATGACCCAACAGACCATCATCCTACCTGCAGACAAAGGCCGAACCAAGGTGATTATGGATAGAGCACAATGCCAACAAAAAGCAAAAGAAATACTGAAAGACAAAGAAACCTACATCCCTGTGAACACCAATAGAATACAAAAACTAGACAACCAAATCAAGAGAACCCTTAGTGACTTCACTAAGAAAGGCCAAATTACAAAAGAGAAACAGTAGCAGATGAGAAGCAACAGACCTATCCTCCCACTCTTCTACAGATGCCTGAAAATTCACAAACTGGCATACCCATCCATCTAATCATATCTCTACCAGCAAAAAAAAAATATCAAAAAACCTTGGGCATCTTACAAGAGGAAGACAATACTCCATTAACTCACCACTACAATGTCTTCAAACAACCAGGGATATGACTATAGATCAGTATGAAATCATAGTCTCATTTGTTGTCACAGCCCTGTTCATGTCTATAGGGGCAGAATTAGCCAGTGAATCCATGACTGCATTACTTCACAGTACACCTGACTTAATTGAGTACACAAAGATCAAAATAGCCAGGATTATGGATCTCATAAACCTCTGCTTAACTACATACTTCCAATTTGAGGCCAAATTTACCAACAAATTAAAGAGACACCAATGTGATTATCGATTCCAGGACTTATAGTGAAGGTCATCATGCAACATCTAAAAGGCATGCACTTGCACAAATACAACCTAAAATATGGATCAGATATGTAGATGACACCTTCACCATAATAAAAAGGACTAACTAGAGAACACCCAAAGAACCATCAATAATATTTTTAAAGGAATCCAGTTTACTAGAGAAGAAGAAAACAACAACTCACTACTCTTCCTAGACATCCTTATCAGCAGAGATCACAATGGCAAACTGAGAGCATATGCACCAAAGACAAATTCCTTGTATGTCCAATCACATTTGGCCAATAAATAATTCTTCTCTAAAGAAATGCAAATTTAGAGAAAAAACACCCATACTAACCAGGTGCTCCATTACCAAAACAACAACCCAACCTCCCACAAGAGAAGCTGTGTAAGGACTTTATTTAAACAAGCCCAAACATACTGCAGCAACCCAGAATAGCAGAATAAGGAAATGGAGCATCTATACAACACATTCCAACAAAATGGATACTCACACAACTTTATTAAAAAGTCCTTGATCACTCAACTCAATACAGCACAACCAACACAAATCCTAAAAAGAATTACACTGTCATACATCAAGAATATCTCAGAAACCACCAACAGACTACTACAACCATATGGAATCAGTGTAGCACACAAGCCAACTAAAACCCTTCAGAACATCCTAAGCAAACCAAAAGATTCAGCAACCCCAGAAGAAAAAACAGGAGTCATCTGCAACATTCAATGTAAGAACTGGAACAACCACTATGTAGGACAAACAAGCAGAAGACTGGAAGAACCCATCCCTGAACACCAATTGGCAGTCAGAAAAAATGACCAAAAAAATTAAATTTCACAACATATAGACAGATTTAACTATAGTCTCAATTGGGAAAATGTGACAATCCTAGACTAGGTCAAATCCAAAAATGCCAGGGAATTTCTAGAAGTCTGGCACTCTGACAAATCAGCCATCAATATACACATAGACATTAACAACATCTATAGACTATGCAAAAGAGACAAACCAACCAGCCCAAAAGAAAAACAAAAAGACCCAAGCACCTCTTCACCAGTAATCAGCACCCAGATTAGCATAGATTAACTCCAAGGTTAACTTCAGACCAATAATCAAGTAAACAATACCCCAATCAAGAAACTACCAAAGAGCCATCAGTAAACAGCCTAACCAAAGACTCTCCCCACCCACCCAGATAGGCAAGTCACCAGAATATAAACTGACAGCAAACAGCACTCCTTACTAGCACTGATGAGTTTACTTAATTAGGGTAGTGAAAGGTCTGCAAGAAAAGAAGCAAGTTCAGACAGGACCCATCATTTCAATCCTGAGCTTCAAATATTCTCTTTTATTGGTACTATATTATCTCTTATATAGACCAATAATTTGTATGTAATTATACATACTCATTATATTATTCTGTTTCAAAGTAATTAGTATTATGCAAAGTGCATGAAAAAGAAGCTTTAAGCCAAGAAATTAAAGATGAAATAAAATAAAATAAAATCTAGTTTACTAGATTCACATCTTTGCCTCCATCTTTCCACATGCTGATTCATTGATCTTGATTTGCTAAATTCTAAATTCTCTCTTCAGGAGATGCCATCAACTCCAGCTAAGACTCAGATTAAGTCACCAAGTTGATATTTTACCGTTTATAATACCGTGTTTCCCCAAAAATAAGATCCTGTTTTATATTGTTTTGAACCCTGAAATAAGCGCTTGGCCTTATTGCCATGCTCTCAAAAGCCTGATTGGGCTTATTATCAGGGGATGTCTTATTTTGGGGGAAACAGGGTAGTATATTTCTAACTTGGTACACATTTAATACATTTCCAGCAGCTTGAACAAAGCATAAGTCATATTAAATGTATAGTTTAAGAATTTTAAGTCCTATGTTGTTATGATACCAAAATTGCACTAAACATTTTTGAGTATTAAACACTCGTTTCTGTTTATGCAGGGTTAAAATTGTGGTTTCTTTTCATGTAAACCTTTTTCCAGTAATAAATACCTGAAATAGGTTAAATAATTTCAAGAAATTATTCAATCAAAGGAAATATTTATTTAATGTCTTTGGGATTTAAATATTGATCACAGATGGTGTTAGATAAGAGTCCCTTGGGAGTTGGGCGGCATAGAAATGTGACAAAATAAATAAACATGCTAAAGCAAGTTATTTCTATTCATTAACATTAATCAATGTGAATGTTCATGAAATATTAGATGCTTGAAGTTGCAATGTAAAGCAGTTTAGTTATAAAGAATGGTCAAATGATAATACTTTGTCTTCTCTCACAGGCGGTGGAACCATTAGGTTAGAATGCATCAAATCCATATTAAAGTTTGCAGGAAGTTAGCACCCACCCCTCTCCTAGAAGAATGTAATATTCTAGGAAATATTAAAAAGGCAGAATATTACATTTTCCCTAAAGGAGAAACATGTTTCTAAAGACAAACTGAGAGCCTCAGCTCCCCGCCCCCTCCAGCAGATATTTTGGTGACAACCTATCTACAAGACAAAGGCTGGGGCAACTTATCTACAACACAAAAGACATGGCCCTCAGGACATGATAGGATTAGCTCTCACTCAAGATCCAAATCAGGACAAAGCCATTAAGCCATACTAGGAATTGCCCAAAGCCCCTTCATTACATCATCACCCAGCAAGATTCAATCAGGCCTGGGACAACCTACAAAGTTCCCCCTGCATGGCCCCATGGGAGCCTGACAACCAATCAGAGTACATTTTTTTATACAAGAACAGGAAACTCCAAGGCGGGGTCCAAGAGAGGGTATAAATCTCTCTCTCTCTCTCACCCATGTGCTCTTTTTGCCAGGATCTCAAATCATGTGGTCCTGTCCACTATTAAACCATCTTTCCAAGCAGTCTCTATGTTTCCAGTGTCTTTCTTCTCACTTGGAACTGAACCCAGATGGACATTTCTTCCAACAAGTTTATTGTTTAAATAGTTTCAAAAGTTATTCTATTTCCAAACATACTGTAGGCATCATTTTTATTATCAGGCATGTTTAGAGAATGTAAATGAGTCAATTTCAAAATATTAAGGAATAATTTTGGCATTCAATTTGCTGATGAAAGCTGGAGAAATGGAAAGGAAAATGTCATTATTTCCTCTATTATATACAACTTAAACACAGATACATGCTGCTTACTTTTTGTTTACCCTTGGATAATGCTTTGGATCTGCAGAATGCAGACAACAACAAGCTGAATTAGATTCTGCATTAATTTATAGGAACTAGACGTTTCACTGAAGTGACTCCATTGGGACCTGTGAGATTGAGACCTCTAAATAATACTATGGCAACAACCAAGCTGAGACATATGAAGGAGTAAGTCAACTTATTTAAATGTTAACAGTAGTCAAAGATGTTGAAGTGTTTCCTTTACTTTTGGTTTGGTTTGCATCACAATGGAACAAAACCCAAAATAATATTCAGTGAACAAGTCCCAGATTTCAGTAAGTTCATTAAATTGTTGCATTATTATATTCTAGAATGCATTTTGAAGTTAAACATTTTTCATTTCGAAAATGTAATATTAGCTCTTGTTACTGGGTGCAAATTCAATAATCATTTGTAGTACTTGGCATTCAAGTTCAGAGAGCACCAAAGACACCCCCCCCCATTCAACCTGGAGGTACAAATATTCTCTTCTACTAATAATCCTTTTCTAGATATTAATTTCTAATCTTTGCTTATTTCTCTGCTATTCATGAAAGCAGCTTTCTCTGGCTTCTGTGTCATCCTGAAAAAAATGGTACCACTATTTCAAAAGTCACATTAACTTGAATGAGTTGATTCCTTAAATCAGTGGCATTATTTGATCAGAACCCCATCCCCACAAAGGCTGGATTGCTTTCACAAGGAGCAAATAGGTGCTGTGAATGTACTGGGTCAAAAAAAAAATTTTTCCTGAAGTTTTTTCCTGTAAATTTTCTACTTACAGTGTTTCCAGACGTGACCTACAAAAGACAGATATATTTTAGATATATTAGGGGAGCAAATTATGCAGTTATATGACATCCAGCATATTCCCTTTATTCATTTTATTGCTACATGACAAAGATCTCTGGTCCCTTTTAATTCTGATCAAAATTCTTCACCTGTAATTGTAGAAACGGTACAGTAATATGGTAAGTATTCTAGGCATACAATAAATTTGAACAAATCTAGTAGTTTTCTAACCTCATTCCATTCCTAAGAGGTCTTTAAGGGGCGTGCATAAGCGCACCAGCTGGCCTACTGTCCCTGTCCTCCTATCCCCATTTATTTGTATCCATCTCATGTATTCATAATTATGTCTATACTTTTATCTGTTATCTAATACATGCTTGATGAAATAAATAAATTTAAAAAATTGATGATCAGATCTGTAAATGCAAGTAAAAGTACATACTTTGTTTGTTTTCCCAATTCTGTTAAATATTTGGAAGCAATCATTCCAAGAAAAGTCTCTTATTAAGTCAATATCAATATTTCAAGCTGTATAAAATATATAAATGAGGATAGTGCCATTGGAAAATTATTGTAGGCAATTTCCAGTTTAGATTACACCTAGCATGCTCCCAGTCAAACCTATATTAAGATTAAGCACACAGGATAAGCATCAGAATTATTCATTACCTCTATCCATATCTATATGCCAAAAAGAACTTTTCAGAATCAAGCAGCATTATAAGTAATTAGCATTTCAGCTTTATTCCATATTTAATCCATAATTATGCAACAGAGATGGCAAATAGGAGTCCAGATTATCTTTTTACCATTGAAGAAACATTATGATGTACAATGATTTTTCCAATAATTCAGAGATAAGTGAAAATACTTATGAGTCTGTAGAAAAGAACAAATTAAAAATTTGTTCTTGAGTAAGGCTTCAAGATGTGTAGATACACTGATAGTTTGGTTATGTTGATTTCACTCAAGCATTAAAAATATGTTAATGCTTTATATAGTGGTCAAACTTTAAGGATCTTTTTAAAGCTTCAGATTTCATATCATAATAAAGACTTATTTTCATATTTTCAAAGTATACTTTTGGGCCTATTCATTAATTTAGTAATTTATTGAATGAAAAATTTATTGAGAATTTTTATTTGCTGCCATTGAAATCCTGGCAAGAGTTGGTTTCCATTAGAATATAAAGTTTTATACATTTTCAATGTTTAAGGTGGTAAGATATGTTAGGACATTGTTGGTAGGAAATTTAAATTTGAATATATTAGCTCTTATAAGCATTTGATTTTAAAAATGGTGCGATAAAACGTCTTTGGGAAAATATGGGTGAAAATGGAATAGTTATTTCTAATTAGATACTTTATAATGTTTCTTGAAAAACTTTTGAAAGATTTGCTCAGGATTCAATTTAATTCTAAAAATTGAGCTTCAATAATTTGCTTAAAGTATTATTATTCAATGAGTTATAGAAAAATATGCTTATTTTTTGCTTTTTCCAGTATTTATTTTTAACCTTTATTAGCATGTATTATTTAGCTTATATATAAATAGTTATATATAATAGTTTCCCCTTCATGGATTACTGCCTTGTTGTGGTGAAGAGGATTGCATAGCTCAATGAAGCTATGAGCTATGCCATGCAAGGCCACCCAAGACAAAACATGATCCACTAGAGAAGAAAATGGCAACCCACTCCAGTATCTGTCCTGTCCCAGCTACGGACCCCAAAGAACACAGCACATACAAATTCTGTACAAACCTTAGTTTTACTAAATTAAATAAGGTTTTTTTCCAAACAAAGGCTGTTAATTAACTTTCTTAACAGTCTACAAGAATCCAAAGAATAAATAATCTTAATCTTACTATGGTTGGCAGAAAGCCCAGAAGCAATTTGCAAAGAACTAAGATCGAGGCACGAAGGAGAGTGAACGAAGTTGTTCCAATTGCTTCAGTCAGCATTCTTCCTTAAATAGGCTAAGGGAGTGGCCAATTAGCCCCAAGCCTTACTTTCGAGGAGACATCCTCTTGAGGAGCCACTCCTGTCTTTTGGCAGTTCTGTGCGCCCATGCATCAAGAAGAGACTCCTCCTCTTAATCCTCTTCATTTAAGGGAGCTTCTGGAGGTTCTGAAGGCCCTGGCTGAATCCCCGCCTCTGGCACTACATCTTCTCCAGCCTCATTGTCCGACTCGAGGGCCAGCTGCACAGGCTGCTGGCGCAGCACCACACCAGTCGCACAGGCTGCGTATGGGCCACAACACTATCCCTCACTGCAGGGCCTTTCCCCCAACTCTGTCAATCCGGATGCGGTCAGGACGGGAACTGCTCGTGAAAGGTGCGTACAAGATCTGGAGCATGAACAGAGGTTGCATCCTCCCATGTGAAGTCCTCTGGCCCATACCCCTTCCACTCGATGAGGTATTGGAACCGACCCTTCAGCCACCAGGAGTCTCGAATGCTAGTGACTTTGTACTCGAGCGATTCATCTCCATCACGGGGCACCGGCTGAGGACGGTCAAGTTGGCAGAGTGGACAGGTAGGCCGTTCGGGAGCCAGAAGGGATCGATGTAACACAGGGTGTATCCTCAAAGACCGAGGCAGGGTCAGGCAATAGGCCACTGGATTGATGACCACCTCCACAGGAAAAGATCCAATGTAACGATGGTCTAGTTTTCTGACTGGCCGTTCTGAGGGGAGATGCTTAATCGACAGACACACGCTATCCCCAACAGCCAACGGTGGTGTTGCCCACCGAGAGCAGTCCGTGACCCTTTTATAATCTTCCTTGGCCTTGTTGAGATATCGTTTCACCAGTTGATGAACGGCCTATAACTCAGTCAAGAATTCATCTACTGCTGGAACCGGGGAGTCAAGGGGCGTGAGCGGAAAGAAATGCGGGTGATAGCCCAGATTGGCTAAGAAAGGGGTGGTTTGAGTGGAAATGTGCTGGGAATTATTAAAAGCAAACTCCACGACTGCTAAGTATTCTGTCCAATTGTCTCATTGACAAAGCAGCACAGGTATTGCTCCAATATTCCAATGACTTTTTCAGTCCTGCCATCAGTTTCGGGATGATGAGCCAACGATAAGCAAATCTCGACATCTAAGGCCGTCATCAGCCCTTTCCAAAACTGGGCGGTGAACTGGGTCCCTCTGTCTGACACAACCCTATCCGGTAGGCATGTAGCCGAAAGACATATTGGATGAACATGCAGGCAGTGACAATCCGCGACAGGGTATGAAATGTGCCATCTTCGTCAACATGTCCACCACTACGAACACAGTCATGAAACCCGAAGACAGGGGCAAGTCCATTAGAAAGTCCATCAAGATGACACCCCAAGGTCTCTCTGGTGTCGGCAAGGGCTGAAGTAGTCCTAGGGGAATGCCCGTGGCCGACTTGGCCTGTTGACAACGAACGCAGGACGTCACATAAGTCTGGACATCGTGACGGAGACAAGGTGTCAAGTTTCGAGGTTGTCTCGAATAAAATGCATTTCAAACAAAATCTTTGAAGAAAAAACTCCTATTTATTGAGCACGACATCCTAACCTGACTCCAAACAAAGCCAACATTGACTTCCAGCCCCAAAACCCTCCCTTTCCGTTACCCACTCCCCTGCACTCATTGGCCATCTTCCAAGTCATTCTACCTCTAATCTACTCCAGCTCAAAGTAATTCCCCCCTCCCATCTCATCTCCTCGGAAACATTATCTCCAGGGAAAATAAGTAGGTGAAAAGTCAGCCGTCCCTTTCCAGATGCCTTCGCTTCTCCTTCTTATATCAGCACTAGAGTAAATGCAGGTTGAAGTGCTGACATGAGGCCACCAGAAGGTCCGTGACACTAGGTTAAGGGTTTTAAACAGACTGAAATGTCCTGCCGCAGAGTTGTCATGGCACTGGGACAATATAAGACCCCCTAAACGGCCCCGATGGTACATAAAGTCTCTCCCGGTACCTGAAGAGATTGTCGGTAAAAGTCTAGGGAGAGTCGGGCCCTACTTCATGCTTCCGAAGATCGACGTAGGCGTCCTGCCACTGTGCCTCCCGGATCTGAACCTGTAGGTCAACAGGTTCCTGGATGGCAGCAAACAACTCAACTGGAAGAATTGTTCGAGGCGGAAGCAGGTCCTTGACTTGGGCATATTCGGGTTTCCTCGAGAGCGCATCTGCTCGTTGATTGCGCCCACTCAGAATGTACGTCACCTTGAAGTTGAAGTGGGTAAAAAAAAAGGACCACCGGATCTGTCGTTGATTGAGTTTCCGCGCGGTCTGCAGAAATTCCAGATTCTTGTGGTCTGTCCAGACTTCCACTTGATGTCGGGCTCCCTCGAGGTGATGTCTCCAGGTCTCAAATGCAGTCTTAATGGCCAGT